GTTTGTTCTCCCCCATTTTCTTTGAAATTTTACTGATCTATGAAATCTTAAAGTTTCGGAACTGCTTAGAGCAAGGATCCCTACCAAGCCTTTTGAAATCAGCTGGTCCCTTGGTCTCCATCCTAGGAGAGTCCCTTGTCAGTGAAAATTCATATACAATATCGTGATCTTCCATTGTCTTACAAATAAAGTGAAGAGATCCTGCCCTGAAGAACAAGGTACCTCCCTCTAGGCATTATGTCTGCAGTTCTAGTGTTGGCCATCATGAGGATGGCTAGTCACCCAGTAGCAAGCCAGAATGAGAGAGAGAGAGAGAGAGAGAGAGAGAGGGAGGCAGGCTCCACGTCTGTACCTACCTCTGCAGGGAGAGAATTATTTTAATAATTCTCATGTCTCACATGTGCATATTACTGACAGTTTACAGAGGACTTTCCTTCACTGATAAAAATGATTATCTTTCTGAAGATTGTGTGATTTGTTGATAATCCCATAGCTAGTGGAAGGCCCAGAATTCACAGATCATAAATCTCTGGGTCTTTTCTTGAATTTCAAGTAATTTCAGCTTTTAAGAAAATGAAGAGTCTGCTGTAGAGAAGACTATGGGATTATCTACTGACGCACAAAAATTGCAAATAATTTCAAATAAATATTGTAAAGGTTGCACAAATGAGACATCTGACTCTGTATTTTTTTTTCTATTTGTGAAATATGATATTCCTTAAAATTATCCTTGGCCTACCTAGGCACTGAAGTGTTTTGCATTCTTTTGGTCAGTGGTATTACACTAGTAATAAACATATTCTAGCCTCTCTACTTAGTTCTACATGGTTAAATGAGTGACTTTTAGGTCCTAGTTATTTTTTAAAATTTATATACAGTAAAATTCACATTTTTTGGAGTACAGTTCTTTAAAAAATGGCAAATAGATATACATTCAAGATATAGAACAGTTCCATTATCCCAAAAAGTTATCCCGTGTCCCTGACAACCACTAATATGTTTTCTGTCCCTCTACTTTTGCCATTTGCAAATCATACTGCAGCGCTGGTACCGTGGAGGCATCGCTGCCACCTTCACTGGGCACTGACACTGATACCTCTGCTGTCAGTGGTTGGATGCCGTCACTAAAAGCACTCCATTGCTGCCTCTGGAAACCAGATGTGGCTGTGGTGCTGCCACTTCCCTCACCAGGATGTATTTTACCTGGGACTGTGAATCTGATTGGCACAACCTAGAACATGTGTCCATGTCCGGTGTTTTATGCAGTATCAAACAGTAAACAGTGGCACTGTTTTGCAGCTTCTCCAGGAAGACATGGCCTCTGCCTCAAAAGGAAGGTAAGGATTCTCCAAACAGAGGACACAGGGTCAAAGCCTGGAAAGTTAAGAAGAATGATAGATGTCCACAAAGTTCAGGCTATCAAAAGGGTTTTGGAAGATATCTAAAACATTATAATGCAGAAAACTCTAAAATATCTGATATTATTATCATCTTTAGCACATCATCATCAGGGAATTTTCTTGAATAAGTTCTGTATTAGTTGTCTATTGCTATGTAACAAAGCACCACAAAACTTAGTTGCTTAAAAACCACAAACATTTATCATTGCAGAGTATCCGTGGGTCAGGGATTCAAGAGTGGCTGAACTGTGTGGTTCTGGTACAGGGTCTCTCATGAGGCTGCAGTCAAGATGTCAGCTGGGACTGGAGGATCCATTTCCAAGCTGGTATCCTCACAAGGAGCAGCTTCAGTTCCTTGATGGCTAGTGGCAGGAGGCTTCAATTCCTAACCACATGGGCCTCTCTATAGAGCCGCTCAGGTGCCCTAACAACATGTTAGTTGGCTTTCAGAGAGAGTGATCCAAGAGAGAGCAAGAACAAGATAGAAGTTACAATGTCATTTTATGATGTACACTTGATAGTTACCCTCCATCATGCCTACCACATTCTGTTTGTTAGGAGCCAATCACTAACTATAGCCCACACTCAAGGGGAGGGGAATTAGGCTCCACAAAGGGAGGAGTATCATAGAATTTTTGGACATGTATTAAAAGCATCACAAGTTATTTTTTATTATTTCACAGAATTGGCCAAATTAACTTCCTTATGCATTATTTCTATTCATTTTTGTATTACAATATGTCAGAGACTCTATTATGATTTGAAGTTAAATTATCACACACCCTCCAGGGATATTTACTTTATCTGGTAAAAATCTTTAACAGTGCTTGAAAAGGAGAAATGGTTGCACTGGATAGCATCTTATCACCAAAGAAACACATTTCAACTATAAATGAAATATTTGTCCTTTTGTTCAAACACCTGAATCCTATAGTATAGAGATTAACAGACATTACTGCCTGGCTATCCCTACTGATGTGGTGGGAGGAGCAGGAGGAGATATTTTTGTAATTCAAGGTACTTTTCTGAGAGCACAAAAGTATTCCAGGAACACAAACTTAAATGTCTTCAGTTGCCAAACAGGTAATAAAAATGCTGAAGACTATATGGAGTGGTGAGGCCTGTGACATTCAAATTCAATTTAAAAAATAACAGTAACAACAATACCAGGCTAGTGAAATAAAACACCTCCAGGTGCCCAGTTTGGCTCTCAGCAGCCAGCTTGCTCTTCTTGCTGAGGTCTATAAGGCTGACTTGCTTTTCTTTGGAAATTCTGCTTCTGAATTCATTAGTTTCAGAGCCAAAAATGATCTTGGTCTATCTAATCCAACTTTTCCACTTTACAGACAGGAATCTGAGACAAGGCACTTTTGCTTTTGGGGGCCCCTTCCTCCCCAAACAATATTAAAAATTATATTGTATGAGGTAAAATAAAAAACCAAATTAGACTGAGGTAAGGAGAGACTTTATTCAAAAGGATTTTATAAGGGACTATTGCAATAGGGGGAGGGGAACTACTATAATAGGGAGAAAGTTTGATCCTTAGATCTGTAAGCCTTTCAAAGGTAAGGCAGAAAAGGTCTTTTCTAGGAAGCAATGCAGAGCAGAACGCTGGAGAGAACAGGATGTGGAGAAGAGGGATGAGCCAGAGTAGCATGATCTTACAGGAGAGAAGAGAAAGTTTCATCTGGAGGTCAGCCTATTTTCAGGCAGGCTGTTAAGGAGAGGCTGTATTCTGGCTCAGGCTGAGGGCAAGGGTGGGTCAACATTGAGGGCCAGAGAGAAAGAGAGAAGCCTAACTAGTTTGGTCAACTCAAAGTAGTAGGTATTTTGTTCAGACTGGTTAATGAGCACAAACAAATCAGCTAATCATTTATGATGCAAAGAATGAGAATTTGGAGGGTCTGTGGCCAGTCTTGTCATTGATAAAGAAGGTAAGTCTTATCAGTAAATCTTATCTATGTCATTTGGGGAGGGATGATTCCTTGCAGTAAACCATTTCTGGAACACAAAGGAGTGGGAAGATTTCTTTAACTCTTATTGTTTTCTAGGATTACAGGGCTTGGTAAAGTTCACCAGTGTCAACAACTGCATTGGTATAAAGACCAATAAATTAATATTATATATTATAACATTTTCTTCAACCTAAAAGTTTTTTTTTCCTTTTTCCTTTCTTTCCATTTTCCTGGGCCCTAAAAATATCAAGGGCTCTGATCTGAGACCCATAGAGATTGAGGGCCTTTAAAACCACAGAGCTAGTTATGGTAGAGCTCAGACAAGAGGAACCAAGTCTAGGGCTCTTTCCACACCTACACCTCTGTGGACACAGAAGGAGAAAACTCTGCCCAAGAGGTAGGATGAAGACTTGGGGATGGGGTGGGGGCAGGAATATTAACTTTGAAATAAGATCCTGCAGACTCAGAAGGTGAGGATAGGTGAGAAATTCATTAAAGAACTAGGGCCTGGGGGCACCTTAACAGTCGACTATGACATGCACGTCATTATTCAACAATATTTATTATGTATTTACTATGTGCTTGAACCAACAGTCAAACAGGGGAGGCCAATGCAACAAGCAATTGCAATAAGTGTGACAAGTGTCATGACAGAGGAAGTGAGATACCTTGAGAGTGAACAGCAGGAACACCTACCCTGAATGGGGGAAGTGAAATTCCAGGTGAACCAAGAATAGAAACTAACAAGGCACAGAGGATGGCAAAGGTGAGAGGAGTGTCCTAGTCAGAGGGATTTCAAACAGGAAGATTTGGGATATGCGAACTTTGACCTTAGAGGAGACCTAAGACTTACGCTCTGACTTGCCCCTGGCCATATATCCTTAGTATTTGGGGAGCGAGGTAGCAGTGAAAGGGAGTGGTTAAAATTTCTCCCCACCTGCTTCCGGGAGTCTTAGCATTCATTCACGACTAGGTTGCCCAGAGGGCTTGGAGGGTAAAGTAAAATAACAGAAACCTGAGAAAACAAACCGCTCCTCTCATTTTTCTAAACCACCCAGTCAGCGGCGGTACTTGGCCTGCTCCTAGCAGCTTAGGAGGCCGGTTTCAATGTTGAGTTTTCCACCCATTCCTGGTCCCCGATTCTCACTCTCCCCCGCCAGGAGGATGCGGTCTCGAGGGGAACTTCTCTCATCCCTTCTCAAAAGTCCCCGCCAGGGCCCGGGGCCGACGGTCGGCCACCTGGCCTACCTTGATTTTCCTCACCTCAACTGGAACGCTCTCGGCCCTGGAAGGACAGGGCACCTCGCAGGCCAGGGGCGAGCCACTTCCAGCCCCCACGCCAGGGAGAGAGGCAGGCACCCGGCGGGACAGCCGGGCGGCTGCGGCCGGAGGGAGCCGGGCGAGCGCGGGGCGGGGCGGGGC